CCTTAAGCCGACGATCGACTTCGGGGCCGATGTTTTAGTTATTGCTCTTCCATCGACCGAAATTTCTCCGCTGGGAGAACACCGCGTTCCAGAATTACGCCATGCTCCCTTTTACCGACTACTCCTTCGTATCTGTCAACCTCTATCCTTAACGAAAGCTGTCCAAAACTGTATTTCTAATTGGTATAAAATTTTATCGTGTATATTGTAAAATTTTAAGCAAACGCTCTCATAGGATGAGCAATAAAATTTCTTTGCCGAAATAAAGTTAATATAATTTTCATAGAAAACTGTAGGTGAATATTCGCGGTTCAGAGTGTCCTTGTATTTTCGTAGAATCGTAATTTCGCAGAGATTTTAAAAGTTTCGAATGTACTAACGAAAGAGTGTGTTAACGATCGGCTGCGAGGATCTCCGATAACATTGGCAGAAACAAGGACGTACCAGTCCGAAAATCGGCGGGATTTAATCACAGGTGAGCCGGTCCCATCGCAAATCCGTCGATCACAAGGCCGGCAATTTTTCTTGGTGAAGCATCGCGGCTTTCACAGCTTTTCCCGGGCAAAAAAGGGCCACCGCGGGTCGAATCGCAAAATTGCCGGTTCTAGGGGCATGCTCGTTCCACGGCTGAATTGGGGCTGCTCGTAGTTTGTATCCCGCCCCTGTTCAACCCCGTCAGAGTTCTCTAATTAAAGCGGCAACGTTTGCTACTCGACAATTCAACAGCGCGGGCTTCAAAGGGCGATCGTACGATTTACCATCGCTTTTCGTCACACCTATCTTGCTGCTCTGTTCTTTCGCGGATCTCCTGCAGCTCTTTTCAATCGTATCCTTTTTTTACTTTTTTGTTCCGGTGGCATGTTGCCGTTGGTATTGACCGCATACGTAATAAAGGACGAAACAAACGCGTGGATGGAACGCGGGTTGAGAGGCGCTGAAACGATTCGTTGATACACGTCGACATCCTACTCGAAAATATCGAATTCCATGGATGCTTCAATCATGCTAGCCGCCTGTTTTTATTCGAACGATCGGATGATTTTTTTCGAACGTTTCAAATGTTTATGGTCGGCTATGCGTCGAAAATCAGAATACGGTCAAGGATGGATTCGTTAACTCTTTTCGGTGATTCGTTTGGTTTGATACGATTTTATATAAATATCTCTTGACAAAATCTATAGTTGTACCATCTATTAATTACACTACATTGTAAATACCCTTTTTCATAAAGAAAAATCATGTTCAGAATGACATCCTCTACCACCCCTTTTAGGAAGTAACACTAATTATGAGAATATAGTGTTATATAGATACAGTTATCTATTGTACTACAAGTTTACATATGTGATGTATAATTCCAAAACAGTGGCAATTAATAATACAGTAATTACTGTAACTCCTTGCACTATGACTAACCAGGTGCGTCAGAACTAATCGCAGCTATAATATTAAGTTTATAATATTAAGTTTACATATGTGACGTATAATTTCAAAACAGTGGCAATTAATAACACAGTTATTACTGTAACTCCTTGCACTATGACTAACCAGGTGCGTCAGAACTAATCGTAGCTATAATATTAAGTTTACATATGTGACGTATAATTGCAAAACAGTGGCAATTAATAATACAGTAATTACTGTAACCCCTATGACACTATGACTCACCAGGTGCGTCAGAAGTACAGTTATAATATTAAAAGAATCAAAGTTATAATATTAAAACAGGTAAAGAAAGTTGCAATGTTATGTCAATTTCATATACAATTAAACTATGCAAATTATTGGATTTGACCTGAAAATCAATGTATTAAAAATTCGAGTAAAATTGATCATTTGTTGAAGTGCGTCACGAGTGCGTCATAAGTTAGTAATGAATGCGTCATGAGACCGTTACTAGTACGTCATTAGTGCGTCACGAGTGCGTCACTAGTGCGTCACGAGTGCGTCAAGAGTGTGTTACTAGTGCATCATGAGTGTGTCATTAGTGCGTCATGAGTGGGTCACTAGTGTGTCACGAGTGCGTCATGAGTGGGTCACTAGTGGATCATTGGTGCGTCACGAATGCGTCAAGACTGCGTTACTAGTGCATCATGATTGGGTCATTAGTGCGGTACGAGTGCGTCACGAGTGGGTCACTATTGCGTCACTATTGCGTCACTAATTGATACACGTCGACATCCTACTCGAAAATATCGAATTCCATGGATGCTTCAATCATGCTAGCCGCCTGTTTTTATTCGAACGATCGGATGATTTTTTTCGAACGTTTCAAATGTTTATGGTCGGCTATGCGTCGAAAATCAGAATACGGTCAAGGATGGATTCGTTAACTCTTTTCGGTGATTCGTTTGGTTTGATACGATTTTATATAAATATCTCTTGACAAAATCTATAGTTGTACCATCTATTAATTACACTACATTGTAAATACCCTTTTTCATAAAGAAAAATCATGTTCAGAATGACATCCTCTACCACCCCTTTTAGGAAGTAACACTAATTATGAGAATATAGTGTTATATAGATACAGTTATCTATTGTACTACAAGTTTACATATGTGATGTATAATTCCAAAACAGTGGCAATTAATAATACAGTAATTACTGTAACTCCTTGCACTATGACTAACCAGGTGCGTCAGAACTAATCGTAGCTATAATATTAAGTTTACATATGTGACGTATAATTGCAAAACAGTGGCAATTAATAATACAGTAATTACTGTAACCCCTATGACACTATGACTCACCAGGTGCGTCAGAAGTACAGTTATAATATTAAAAGAATCAAAGTTATAATATTAAAACAGGTAAAGAAAGTTGCAATGTTATGTCAATTTCATATACAATTAAACTATGCAAATTATTGGATTTGACCTGAAAATCAATGTATTAAAAATTCGAGTAAAATTGATCATTTGTTGAAGTGCGTCACGAGTGCGTCATAAGTTAGTAATGAATGCGTCATGAGACCGTTACTAGTACGTCATTAGTGCGTCACGAGTGCGTCACTAGTGCGTCACGAGTGCGTCAAGAGTGTGTTACTAGTGCATCATGAGTGTGTCATTAGTGCGTCATGAGTGGGTCACTAGTGTGTCACGAGTGCGTCATGAGTGGGTCACTAGTGGATCATTGGTGCGTCACGAATGCGTCAAGACTGCGTTACTAGTGCATCATGATTGGGTCATTAGTGCGGTACGAGTGCGTCACGAGTGGGTCACTATTGCGTCACTATTGCGTCACTAATGCGTCATGAGTGCGTCAGAAGTGGATCACTAGTGCGTCACTAATGCGTCACGAGTGGGTCACTAGTGCGCCATGAGTGCGTCATGAGTGGATCACTACTGCGTCACTAGTGCGTCATGAGTGCGTCACGAGTGGATCACTAGTCCGTCGCGAGTGCGTCATGAGTGCCTCTCAGGTGCGTCACGAATGCGTCACAAGTAATATTCCAAATAATACAATTAATCCAGCGAAATTTCGAACTAAAAAGTTATAAAGTCAACAAAATTGTAATTTCCGACATTAAAATGGTTTCCAATTGCAAAGAGTTAATCACATGGAAATATTCAGGTTTTTAATCGATGCAACCTGCAAGATATTTCCCCAAACAGAGATACGTTATGAAAACAACGAGTCATTTGTTGCAAATGCACGTTGATGCATCACTCGAAAGGTACGGCGTATGTTTTTTAAAGCAGGCATTTTCGCGATAATTTACAGATACGGTAGGTTCCGCCGTTCCGGTATAATTATCGTATGAAAATGCGAGGAATGAACTGTTGCCGGAACCTTGGTGTTGCGCACCGTTATTCGAATTTTATTATTCTTGACGGTCCACGGTTAACGGAATTTCGCCGGCCATTATCCCACGGGCTGTTGGTACAATTATTAACCGCATCGCGCTTTATTGTTTTCCATCGATCACGGGGCCCGGGACCGTTTAAATCGCCCGTGGCTCCACTTTCAAACGATTTCACGGCGCGAAATCGCGTTTACACCGTTCGGTGCTGTTTGCGCCGATGCTTTTCGCTCGTTGGCTTCTCGTTCCGTTAAATTACAGCGTATACTCTTAATCCTTTTAACCGGCGAATTTTGTAGCAGTTTAAACCCTGTTTGCGATCAGAAATTCCATGACAAATCGAACTGCTACACTTTATGCGAACGTTCGGGTGCTGCGTGAAATGCTGCTTTTTCGATGAAATTATTTATTCCTTTTCAATGTTTTTTAATTTTAGTTACAGCGACTTTTTAGTTTGTATTTGTCGTTTGTTAGCAGATGTCTGCTTTCACATTTTTTTGAACACTAACCCGATTTTGTATTTTCAACTTTTATTACATTTTCAACTGTATAAATTTTTGACTTGGAGAAAGTGCACAGAAATAATTTGAAGATCGCTATTTTCCGAGTAGTTGTAGTTAAACGTGATTTTGTAACTTCAACTCGATGGTTGAATTTTTAATGAAATTTACTTGGTCAAAATTTGGAAAGTGTGCACAGAGATAATTTAAGAATCTGATTTTTAGTTAATCAAATTTAAATATGATTTTGTAATTTTAACCCTTGAGGGTTAAATTTTTAACAAAATCGGTTTACTCCAAATTTCAAAAATGTATAGAGAGATAATTTAAGGATCAGCTCTCTGATTAATCTTTGTTCTGATTTTTTAATTAATCTTGAACTTCAACATCATTTTTTAATTTCAACTCTCGATGGACAAATTTTTAATGAAATTGTGTTAATAAAAATTTGGAAGGTATACAAAGAAATAATTTAAGAATCACTATTTTATGACTAACTGTCCTTAAATACAATTTTGTAACTTCAGCTCTCAATGATATAATTTAAGAATCATTGCGAGATAATTTAAGTGTCACTATTTTCTGACTAACTGATCCCAAACATTTCGTAACTTCAACTCTGAATATTTTTCCCACTTCTATTTTGTCTATAACTCTCTGTACACAATTGTAAATGTTTTTATTTTTTCTTTCAGGTAAGATAGTGTTCGAGAGTAATATCATTTCCGAAATGAACGGGGGTCGCGACAACGATAAGGGAAGAAGTGCTTGGCCGCTTATCCGAACTACTTAATGATCATTAAAGTGGTGGCTGTCGTGCGAAACGTTCGAGAGAAATGCCGCCGTTCCAGCTGGCCTCCATCTGCGCCGTAATTAGTAGGTAAACGTTCCTATAAATTTCCCAGCAACTCGTCCGTCGACTAATAACAAAAAAGCTAGGAAAAAGCGACCAAACAAGTTCGGAGAAATTCCGGATATCGTTAGGTGTGAAGTGATCATGAAACAAACGTTCTCGTAAGATTAACTGGTACTCTTCGTTCTTAGATTCTGGCCTACTTTACTTACACTTATATCTGTATGTATAGGTTTATTTATCTATATTTTTGTGTATATTTATTAGTAGATGTACCTATATGAATATTTATCTTTAGTTGTATTTATTATTTATTTATTTATTAGTTTATTTATATTAAATGTATCTGTACATTTATTTATTCATATTTAGTTGTACTTGTGACAATATCATAATTTATCTACATCTTTATCTGAACTTATCTGCACCTGTACTTACATAAATATTTATCTGAATTCGTATTTATATATTTGTCTATACTTCTATCTGTGTCTATACATTTATTTATTTATATTTAACTGTACCTGTGTCAACATGTTTATCTATCTATATTTTTATCTGAACTTATCTGCACCTGTACCTATATGAATATTTATCTGTATTTGTATCCACATGTTTATTTATCTGTACATCCATATGTTACATTTATCTGTATATGCATATGTACATTTATTCATACAATTTTCAGCTACTCTAATCTGGGCATGAAAACGAAAACCTTGTTTCCAAAAACAACCATTTGCTGTTCTATTTCAGAAATTTTCTCAAATGGAAATTTTTATGAAATTGTTTTGAAGTCTTCTCTGTCTTACTGACTGTTACTATTCAACTACTCAAACCTCACTTTCGCAAAGGACACAGTTCTTCAGAATCACTATAACGTCCTTCTGCCAGTTACACTACTTGTGAATCACCCTGTAGATTTAGTTCAAGAATACTCAGCTTGACTTATCTTATGATACTATCAGAGAATATCAACACTCTCTGTACAAATATAATTCGTAGATAAAGAAGCTACATTTAGCTCTGTACAAATATAATTCGTAGATAAAGAAGCTACATGTAACACACCCGTGAGCAAATTCTTAATATAAATATTAAAATAATCATGCAAAACAGATCCCGCAAAATCCCTGTGAACGTAACCCGACTGGTCAAAGGGTGTCGAGATTCGTACGAAAAATTTGTATACGTATAAGATCAGAGGTTTAATCCCGGGTTGAAAGGCCGGCGATCAGATTAATATCTGAGATAAATCCCGGTGACGACGTTACACTGTCCTTTACTTTTTCCGGCGGCTAAACTTTCACGTACGTCCCCACGCACGACCCTTATCGTCCCGATCTTAATTCAAAGCATGAACGTCACCCTTTTCGTCCCTCGTGCGCCCCCTTGCTCTTACCAGGCCGTGACAAATAGCTTTTAATTTCTCGCCACTGTTTACCCAAGCTACTCCCGAATTAATTGCCCGTTACCCGGCTTCCGGACGTTATCTTATCGCCGGCCACTTAAACAGCCCCTACCTGCAGCTTCTACGGGATCTACGAGCCACCTACTCGTCCGCAACCGACAGAACTAACCCTGCATGAGATCCCTAGCACGGGATGGCCAGCCTGCATCGTCGGATCTAAACCGATGATTATGAATGCGGACCGCTGTGTAAGCCTCTTCCCAGAGCGGAAGGAAGGGTCCGTGTTTGCTGGAACTCCTGACGTGTCTCGGGATAGGAACAAGAATATCGTGAATGGTATCTAAACTTTGTTCAGATATCCACGAGACGAGAGCTGTCCGCAGAAATATCTCGGATCTAGAGCTAACAGCGCGCAGTCGAATCGTTTGGACTAACCGGTTGTCTGGAAGATTACATTTTGTGGCGAGGATTTGTGTTCGGTTTGAGTGATTCTTCGACTTTTCGATGGATAAAATTTGACAAGTTCAGACCGTATAAAATGAATTAAACCTTGACGTTTAAGGTACAAGGGATTGTGGGGGTTTAAGGAAGTTACGAAATAATTTTGCAAGTCACGCTTATCGACTAAGGGGCCTTGCGTGAAGATAAACCGTCAGTCAAGGCGGTTAATAATACACCTTTCACCGTGAAGTTAGTTTAAAATAATCTTTTCTCTCGGACAGACAGTATGAAAACCTTTCCCCCAGAGGCTTATCGTGACTCGGTCTCTTCTTAGAGCTGGAAGGCGTTGAAGAAATAAAAGACGACGAGGAGGGTCGGGATAAAGGGTAGCAGGACGCGCGGTAACGATTCCTCGTGCATAAAGACCGCTCGACGTGGTCGGGGATGAGGGAAGGGTACGTGATCGTAATATCGAGACGCGTTATGAAAGTCGGCTCTTCTTACGCTCGCTTTCTGACCCGAATTAAAAATAGTCTGCGGCGACGAGCTGTGTCGTCGAGATCGAAATCTTGGATCTTGTCGCACTGGATCACGGTTTTGGAACAATCAGTGACGCGGACGAGGTTTTACTATTTCTTTTTCATTTGGAGATCAGGAAATTTTGTGGGTGGGGATTTGGAGATGAAATTTTCGAGTTGGGGATTTGGAGATGAAGAAATTTTCTAGTTGGGGATTTGGAGATAAATAAATTTTCAAGTTGGAGATTTAGAAATAAAGAAATTTTTAAGTTGGGGATTTAGAGATAAAAAAATGGTCAAGTTAGGAAATAAGGGATGAAGAGATTATCTAGTGGGGATTTAGAGATCAGGAAATTATCAAGTTAGGGATTTTAAGATAAAGAAATTATCAAGTTAGGAAACAAGGGAAGAAGAAATTATCTAGTAAGAATTTAGAGATCGGGAAATTTTCAAGTTAGGAATTTAGAGATCAAGAAATTATCAAGTTAGGGATTTGAAAATCAAGAAATTATCAAATTAGGAATTTAGAGATCAAGAAATTATCAAGTCAGGGATTTAGAGATCAAGGAATTATCAAGTTAAGGATTTAGAAATCAAGAAATTATCGAGTCAGGGATTTAGAGATCAAGAAATTATCAAGTTAGGAATTTAGAAATCAGGAAATTTCCAAGTTAGGAATTTAGAGATCAAGAAATTATCAAGTCAGGGATTTAGAGATCAAGAAATTATCGAGCCAGGGATTTAGAGATTAAGAAATTATCAAGTTAGGAATTTAGAGACCAAGAAATCATCAAGATAGGAATTTAGAGATCAAGAAATTATCAAGTCAGGGATTTAGAGATCAAGGAATTCTCAAGTTAAGGATTTAGAAATCAAGAAATTATCGAGTCAGGGATTTAGAGATCAGGAAATTTCCAAGTTAGGGATTTAGAGATCAAGAAATTTCCAAGTTAGGGATTTAGAGATCAAGAAATTATCAAGTCAGGGATTTAGAGATCCAGAAATTATTAAGTTAGGAAATAAGGGAAGAAGAAATTATCTAGTAGGAATCTAAAGATCAAGAAATTGTGAAGTTGGTAATTTAAAGATGAATAAAATTTAGGAATTTAAAAATGTTCTCTTTGCCAATTAAGTAATAACATCTAATTGTGCCAATATGAAAAAACTTTATGTATCAAATAATCGTGCTCCTCGTTGAATTAAAAAGTGATCGAATAATGGAATAATAATGGAATGGCCTTTATCGGTGATTAACCGTTTATCGAAAGGCGATTCGAACGTAGAGATAAACCGTGTCTGACTAGTCACCTATTCGTTCTACTTGCTGGACAAATCGTTTCCGGCGGTTCGACAATGAACGTTGAGGTCTCTTGTAAACTACTGGAGGTCATCTACGATCACTTCTACAACTATCAAAGTGACTTCGATCTCTATTAAAATACATTTGTCATAAAAGATAAAAAATTTTCGAACAGAAACAGTTTAATCAGCAAAATATGATTAAGTAAATACACAGTATAATGGCTACACGTAAGTATTGTCAGTTTTTTAATTGCCAAACAAATACGGTAAGTTATCGGTAAATTGATATTATGATTTAAATCTGTCGAAATCAATTACAATCAATCACTCGGTGCCTCAAAACGTTCAGTTTAACCGATATTAATTGCATCGTGATTAATTTAAAAGCTTTCGGCATAAACAATAAAATGCAGAGTCGAGTAATAAATAAAGCGATTTATTAGTGATCCATCGGCCGACAGTCGGTTGCCACGAATCCATAATATCGATTGGAAAAATTTCACCGATATGATCGCGAACACACGAAACACAATGTACACGAGGGGCATTAATATTCAAATTGCGGTGCCGACATCAAAGAGGTCGATCGGCCGTCGAACGGAAAACACGAAAGCTGCTTTTCACCGATCCTCCTACCCGTACCGTTTCCACGTTCATTTTGCCCTTGTCTTTTCACTTTGTTTAATATGCTAATAGTTATTAAACAAGTGTTTCGCGTGAACACGATGCGAAATTCGTTACACACAGTCGGCGCCGGGGGATGCGACTTTAAACAGATATTGCATTAGCATATTATTAATAATTCAACTTCCACGTTTTATTTTTGGTATATTAAATCTGTCGCGTACGGTAGGAATTCGGATTGTTTTAACCTTGACACGTTTTTGTTTATTGTATATCGACAGTGAGAATTAAAATTTTGATATGGTTTAATGAAGAGGGTGAAATGGATGTGTATATGTATATTTGTTAGGTAGGGATTTTTAGGTTAGATGCTGGGGAATTTAGGGATTTAGAAGTTTAGAGGTTTAGGAATATGAGAATTTAGGGATTTGGGAATTTGGGAATTTGGAGATTTGGGAAATTAGGGATTTGGGGATTTGGGGATTTGGGGATTTTGGGACTTGGGGATTTGGGAATTTGGGGATTTTGGGACTTGGGGATTTGGGGATTTGGGGATTTGGGGATTTGGGAGTTTGGGAGTTTGGGGATTTGGGGATTTTGGGATTTGGGGATTTGGGGATTTGAGGATTTAGGGATTCAGGGATTTGGAGATTTAAGGATATGGAAATTTAGGGATTTGGTAATTTGGAGATTTAGAGAATTAGGGATTTGGTGTTTTGGAGATTTAAAGATTTAGGGAAATTTGGAAATTTGAAGATTTGGGGATTTAGGGATTAGAAGATTCAGAGATTTGGAAATTTCAAGGTTTTAATATTTGCAGATGTAGAAATTTTCACATTTAGAGATTTGGAAATTTGGAGATTTGGAGATTTAGGAATTTGGAGATTTATGGACTTGGAGATTTGAGGGTTTAA